GCTATAAAAGTGGCTTGGTTCGATTTCTATTTTCATAGTGTTTTGATAGATTCAAACCATTATTAGATGGTTTGGATCACTCTTCTTTTTTTAATTCCTTCTCCTTGTGTCTTCTCTGCGAATGAGATCAGAACTGATAGCCACATGTGAACTTTAGTTTTTCCACCATGACCACAGATATGAAAAGCGAGAAAGGACAGTTCACCCACTGTATTTGTTTCCTTAACCACAGCTGATAGCAACAGGGCTGAGCAGTCCGGGCTTTCTTCAGGCTTTCTTCAACTGACATTTGATTTGCAAGATGCTGCTTAAAATGATGTGGTTTATACTACTAGCTTGCTCTCAGAACTGAGATTGTCTCATAGAACAATTAACCATGTTCCTGAACTAGCCAAGGACGCGGTGCCCACATGAGCATGACTTGGAGTTTTGTGGCTTAAACATTTACAAGGAATGTGCTGGATCTCTTCTGGCATAAAGAACCACAAGCATAACCAAAAAGGAATTGTTTTTTTTCTTGATTGAGCTAGAACTGAAGTAATTATAATGACACATAAAACATTAACCCTGAATAATGTCCTTGTTTTTACTATTAATCTGATGCTGCTGCTATTTTTGCTATTTTTGCCAGTGTTTGCATTACAGTGTCACAGTGGCCGCTTCATCGCAGAGATTAAATGCTAATTTAGACACTGATGTTAAAAGTTAATTCTTCCTTTCTAGAACACAGTAAATTCACTCCTCCTTAGAAATTATCCAGTTTGCTTGAATATCTGTAACCAAGTGATTTCTAGGAATTCACCCTAAGCTGTTCAGCAAAGGGTCCTGGTTTAGTCAATCCAGTGGAAACTGGTTTTGATGCAGTAAAGTATCCTTCTGTTTGACAGCTTCCCTCAGCCAAATGGTTTTGTGAAGACTTAAAGCAACATTTGGGGTTTCTCTGCCTTAATTCTTCCATTGCAGATGTGTTCTTCACCAATCCGACCATGTCATAGCTATTCACTGGAAGTCAAGTGCTTCTAAATGCTAAGCACATTGTGAAACACAAAGAGGAACAGAGAATTAATACTGTGTAACATTAAGACTCTGGGAGCTTTTTATGTCACTCTTTTTATAAGTTATTTGTTCAGGCTAGAAATAAACACTTTTATGAATGTTTCTGAGCTTAAGAGTCCTGTAATTACTCCTGCTTGAGTAATAACTCAGTTTCTAGGTGCTCTAGAAAACATACTGAAAAGCAAAAGAGCATTAGAGTCACTTGTGTACTGAATTTGCCTGTTCTTTTCTTCTAGGTATTTATGGGCCATTGGTAAAAATGTTTGGAAGAGATGGAAGAAACGATTCTTTGTCCTGGTCCAGGTAACAAATTTAACTAGAAGTGCTCTCAAACCACAGCATGAAATATTGAAGTCTTTCCTTTGGGTGGTTTTGGTGCTGTGTGATTGATGCTGAGCTGTGGTTCTGTGTAGGGTGTCTGTTAAGTCATGGGGGTTTTTTTCTGAATGTATACATCTTCTTAAGAATATCTGGTTGAGATCTCTAGCCATGAGTTTCCTGAGGCACATGAATGCTTGGTGAAATGGAGAACCAATTATAGTGAGGAATTAATGAAATGAGGAGGAAGCTCGGTCTGTCTTGGCTGGAGGTACGCGGGTGCAAGTGCTCCCTTTAGACCCTCCAGGTAAAACCTGAGGTCCACTGAAATCTACAGAAGTTTCATCACTGGCCACGTCAGTCAGTATATTGTTCTTGACATTTATCTTGCCTTCACGTTCATTACTGCCTCATTGTCCGCAGCTCTCACTGATCATTTTGCGATGCCTTTCTTCCTTTTTCCCTATTTCTTCTTTTCATTTTTTGCTCTCCCAGTTTCATTAGACAGGGAAACAGGCAGAAGATCTCCTTGTGTCCTAAGGCAATCTGGTCAGTACTTGATGGTTTAGATCTTAATGTGTTCACCTTCCCAAGAGCAGCTGAAACCACTGCACTGGGCAGAGAAGTGTGGGGCCCCAGTTTGAGTAGCTCCATCTTCACAGCAACCTGACAAAGCCACAGAGTTCTCTTGGGTCCATCTTTCTTTCTGGGTTCCTCAGGGTATGTTGTCCCCAGGTATGAGCATCGGTCAGGGTCCTGTAACGAAAGTATCATGGAGATGCTCTGATGGAATAATACAGTATCTCACTGAGATCTTGTGCCAGCACAGGTCCAAAGTGATCAAGTCAGAGGGTGAAATCCTACTGCTGATGAAGCAGATCACAGGTCTGCTGCAGAGGAGCTGGGATTTCACCCATGCATAAGAAAGGAGATGATGTAATCCAGGAGCCCCAGGCTCCACATTTAGGATGGAGCATGCTTGTGTGCTGCCTTTCCTGTGCTGGTAAGGGGAGTCCACACAGTCCATCTTCCACTGTACGCAGCTGGCTTCTATGGTCCTAAATCACCTTGTGTAAACTGGTTAGTTTGTTTGGAGTTAATTATTACTCCAAGTTCAACTGTCTCAGACGCTTAATTGCATTCCCTGTTTTGTCTATCGCTGCCAGCCTCCATAGCACTAAACTATGTGGCAAATAAGTAAATCTATCCTGGAATGTAGTATGTATTTATGTTGTGTGTGAGAAGCCTATATAAGTAGGAGCCTATTTGGAGAGAGCAGTTGAATACCTAGTCCGATAACCAACTATGAGCACATAAACTGTGCTCATTTGTACTCCAGATGGGTCAAAATGTCAACAGAAGTGGGGAAGTTAGTGCAGAGCAGCCACAGGAGATGCCTCTGTCTGCCCAAGCTCTACTTATATTCAGGTAAAAGTGATGGGTTTAGGATCTGTATTAACCATTTCTAGAGGCATCTGGTTTGCAAATGCACCCTCTGTGCAGGGCCTGGCCAGGTCCTTTGTGAGGTATAGTGCTTGGCACCTCACAGGGCAACCCAGTGACTTACATAGCTAGACCACTGGAGGTAAATCCCAAACTGTCTCCTGGGTAAGGAGCAACAGAAGCCATAATGAAGGAAAGGCCTTTTGGAAGCATTATGCTGTGACCTTGTTCTTGGGCAGGGATTGAGGGATTGGTTTTGTCTGTTTCCTTTATTATGTTCTGAAATGAAGTTAAAAGTGCTGTGGCAGTCTGTGATCACCTGCAGAGCAACTACTATCGTTTTTCCCTGAAAGACACTTCATTCCTATTAGACCAGGCTCTTGGTCCCTTTTTCCCTGTGAACAGGGATTCTCCAAAGGGGGAAATCCTCTTTCCTATCATAGCTTCTCCCTTAAATAAATCTGTTGATACTCTTCTGTGCAAGGGTTTGCAGGTTTGGACATGGATTCCCATGTCTCTCTCAAAGAACCTTTCTTCCAGCCATTCTATGTGGTTTTAGTAACTTCTCTAGTTTTCCGTTGCTGTCTGTTCTTCAGCTTGCTAGGGAATTGAATCTCTCAGAGTTATTCCATGTTTTGTCATGTTACTAGGTCTGTATTTGTCACTTGGCATGTAAGAGCAGGATTTGGCCAGAAAAGCAGTTCATTTGAATAAGATGAGCAGACTTTTGCCCCCAGAGAGTCTCTGTAGCCCACCTCAGAAATTCCAGCTACCACTGCAGCTTCTCTGTTATGTTACCGTTTGCTCAACATTTGGTGCAATGTAAAGTGTTCTGCCGTACATCAAATATAAACAAGAAACACTCTCTATGCAGTCCCTCAGATGTAGTTTGAGCATATTGAACATGTCAGCAGGCAATAAAGATGGAATAAAAATACTTTGCTGTCCGTATGTTTGTCATTTGCTTTTCATGCAATGCAAAGGATGGGTGCTGATACGAACAGGGACTGGCAGCAAAGGTGTTGATGTCCGGGATGCTCTGAACTCTGCTAAACCACAGACAGAAAATAACCCCCACAGGAAGGTGAGCTGGCTCCATTATGTAAAGAACAGACAAGGAGCAGCTCCTGTTTTGGGAGCTTGCTCATCTGTACCAGGCTCCTCCTCACAGCAGGGCTGAGAGATGGAGTCCAAAGCATGAAGTACATTTGGGATATAGTGGTCTGGTCAGTCCGTGACACTGCCAGGAGGGCAAGGCTGTATGTTTGGATGGATAATGAAACATTTCCCCTCTGATCGCTTGTCTCTGCCCCTTACCTGTAGGATCTTCTGTTGCAGCTCCTTTCCTCCTCCTGCTCCTGTGTCCTCTCCAGCCTCTCTTTTCCCCATTTCAAACGGGGACATAGCCTCAGTTCCTTCAGTGCTGTTGGGTGGTACTGCTCTGCCTTCTGGTACCAGTGGTTAAGAAATTCATGGTAATACTCAAACTCTTCATAACTGTTTCAACAAGGCACCAAGGTGCCAAACTGCATGGGAGGCACCAAGGAGGAAGGTGTTGATGGCAGTTTGTCTCTTCTGTTGGTGATGCCTCGCCAGTATGAACGGAGGCTTTGCATGCATGTGTGTATAGAAAAAGGAGCTCTGCAGGGAGGGTTTCCACTGCTACTTGGCTTGTGTAAGCCTGGAGAGAAGGGGAAAGGAGCAATGACTGCCTTATAATTTGGGTGGAATAATCCCTCGCACCTTCTGTGTCTGTAGCTGCGAGGGTTGTACAGGAGTGGAGATGATTTGTTTGGGTGTAGTTGGTGAGAGCTGTTCCTTTGTGCCATTTCTACAAGCGGGCCTGACCTCTCCAGCATGTGCATTGCTGGGTGGGCTTGGTTCAGCCCCTTGGAGAAGGTTTGCAGCATGGCATGGCTGGCAGAGCTGGTGCACATGCTCCTCCAGCATGCACCCGTGCGTTCAGAGGGGATGGTTTTCTCTCTCGAATGAATCGCAGTCCTCTCTGCACACTGCCCACCCTTCTCGTAGACACCCTTTGAGATGAGCAGCAGAAGAGCAGAATACTGATTAGATGTAAATTACATGGCAGAGACTCGTTACTTGCCTAATTTTAAATCCTGAGATATGCAGTGTGAAAGTGATGGCAGAATATGGCCCTGAGCTTGGATGGAAATGGTCCGCAGCATCACAAGGGAGGAAAATGCTTCGTAAAGGCAACAGTAATGCCAGTGGCAGTGGTAAGCCAAAGCAATGGAGCAGTTTAGGGCAAAGTTCTCTGTGACTGGTTAGGAAAGAGAATGTACATCCCTCACAGATGTTAGAAGTGTTTCCTAAGTTGCTCTATCAGTTGCCTGAGCAGAGCATACACATTTCAGCCAGTTTGCCAATTGGACCCTTGATTGTACAAACGCTGGGATTTTTGGTAGCTGGCAGAGCTTGTATTAATTCTCTGCAAGGTCTGATGTGCTGTACTGGCAATAAGACTGTTGTTGGTTCTGGTGGGTTTGCTGGGTTTGTGGTAGGAAATATAATGATTCTTAAGGGCAAGTGAATTAATTATGTTGAGATTTCAGACTGAGTCTGTTCTTCCCTTGTCATAACCCCATTTCTGTGCTCTGGCAGCATATGGGAAGTAACACTCCATGGTACCTGGATGACATGTCTGCTGAGTAGCTTGAAGCAGTTTTCAGCTGATTGTGTCTGATGGTGTTTGCAGAAGGTTGTTGGAACCAGATCAAATCTGCAGATTAAAACCAGTTGCAGTGTCTACGCCTGGATCTATTGTTCTAGTGACAGACTCCCTGAACTCATTATAATTTAGACTAACAGTGACAGTTCCTGCTTTTAGCAAAACTCAGCTGACTCGGGATAAAATGAAATGTTCAGGAACTCCAAACAACCAAGAGAATGTGACAATAATTCAGCAAAATTGCAGTGTGCTACACCAGCAGATCTCCACTGTGGTCCTCAAGTCAAGGCAAATGACCTGTAGCTGGTCCCCATAATCATATTAAATCATGTTTTTGGTTAGACCCTTGCTGAGAAATGTGCATAGGTGGTGACTCTAGAGAAACCTTGAGTGTTGATAATAAATACAAACTGCTTGGAGCTGCTGGTTGAAGAGGTGCTTGTTACACCTGGCTATGGTAGGTCCTGCATGTCCCATCCGTACTCACAAGGGGTGGCTTCCCACCAAGCAGCCCTGTCTGAGAAGACACACACCCCTCCTGCTTGAAGGAAGGAGTTAGGACAACTGTTGTGTGCAATTGTTTAGGGCTGAACAGACGTGCCGAGATGCGAGAACTGTTGTTTTCACATTTTCTTCTTTCAGATAGATCGTTTCCTCTGCTCATTTGTGTCAGGAAGGGGCTCGGGAGGCAACGTACAGCTGCAACCAGAGGACAAGAGTCTCCCATCAAAGCGGGAAGCTGTATTACAGCTGGCAGTATCTTAGCACAGTTTCCCTCCCTTGGGACAAAATGCATGCTGTTAATCTAGGAAGGGTCCATTTAAGAATTTAAGCCAAGTGGGGCGGTGTTATGTCAACAGTGAGAAAGGGGGAGGTGAATGACTGAGCTCCGAGTGCGAGGCACGACAGTTAACAGGTTTGAGCAGGATCCTGGGGAAGGCGGTGCTCGCTGGAGCAGGAGTCTCTGGTGGAAAACAAGGACGAAGTCAGGACTGGTTAATACACATCTACTGTGTTTATTAATCATTCGGATTATATAGCTGGTGACAGAATATGGTTGAGTGCCAAGAAAGTCAGATCTAATTTAGCAGCTGGGAATAGTGAACTTTGGCATTTGTCTCCTGCTGTCTGCTTCCCCTTTCCTGTATTTCTTTGTCTTTTTCTCTTTTTTCCCCCACTTTCTTTTCCTTCTGTTCTTTTGTCTCAAATTATTTCTCAAAGCTTTTCCCCTTTTTTTTGTAATGAACCAGCCAGGGCAGCCTTGGATTATTTCCCTTCTTTTAGTTTCACTCAGTTCAGCTTCCTTAGATGCTCCTTTCCTGGCCCTCATTGAGTCCCTGGATGAAATCCCAGCTGCTTTCAGAGTTTGTCCCTCACTGGGCAGAGATTTCTGCTCTGTCTTCCTTCAGCTTCCTCTCTGTATCTGTGTTTTTCCAATTACTCAAACCATTCATCTTGCCCATCCCATCTGCTCGCTCGCTCTCATACTCAGCTACAGTTCAGTGTGAACTCAGCAGGCTGTAAGATTAATTTCTGCTATTAACTGTTTCACTTGTTTGGCCACTTCTAAGCTTCTACAGAAAGCAGGCTTTGTAAAGCACAATATTTCAGAGGACTGGTGAAAGGCAAGCTGCAATCTCCACTTGACCCTACAGTGCTGTTCAGCAGCCAAGCACGATCGTTACATACCGAGCTTTCTAGAATCTCATTTTGTCGGGTTTCGCTTTACCACTGCTTGTGAATGGAAGGAGCCACATCACACTGGTAGCCAGGGCACCGGCTTCTTTCTGAGCCCAAGCAGCAAATGCTTTAGGCAGCAGGATAGGACAGACAGGCTGGTGTGCCAGTCGTTCAAGTCAGTAGCTTGAGTTGTTAAGGTGCAGGCGCTCTGCATGGCACGGTCGGCCCCTTTTCCAGAGGCCATCGATACCTTTTCTCCTCTCTCCAGCCTGATCCTGCCAGTAGGCTCTTGGATAACACTGAGCTCCACACTTGACCTATGTCAGTAGAGAAGTAGGATGTGAGCTCTGATGAGCTCATTGCACTTGGTAGACCCACCTGTAGGTTTGTGTTAGAGGCCTCTTCTAATAATGATGTAGAGCAGCTTCTTCCAAGGAAATATGCAAATGCTAACAAGAGACCAGTTTGCTTCTGTCCCAGGATGGCTCCACTGGAGTCTACTGTCTACAGATCTCTTTTATGACTTCTAATGTGAGAAGTATAAGCTCTGAAATGTCTGTGTTGGTTTCCTTACACCTCTGTTGTGTTGGTATAGTTGGCTTATTGAGAGGGATGAAGAATCTTTCCTGGGTCCAAAGATGAGAGGAATTATTTCATAGAATCCCAGACTGGTTTGGCTTGGAAGGGACCTTAAAGCTCATCCAGTTCCAACCCCTGCCATGGGCAGGGACACCTTCCACTAGAGCAGGTTGCTCCAAGCCCCTGTGTCCAATCTGGCCTTGAACACTGCCAGGGATGGGGCAGCCACAGCTTCTCTGGGCACCCTGTGCCAGCGCCTCAGCACCCTCGTAGTGAGGAATTTCTTCCTAATATCTAATGTGAATCTTTGTTCTTTCAGTTTAAAGCCGTTCCTCTTGTCCTTGTCCCTTTGTACATGAAAAGCCTGAAATTCAGACTTCAGGGTCAGAGAAGAAACGAAACTACTGAATGAATTTTACCTGTTACTATAGAGCATAGAGGAGAAGAAAAACCCATCAGTTGTATTAATGTTTTCAACCAATGTCAGCGCAGGTTAGCACTGACTCACTTCAGGAATGAAATTTACCTCTCAACCCCTGAAGTTCGGGCTGTCTAACACAGAGGAATCAAATCCTCACCGCTGAGATTGGAATCTCCAGCATCTTCCCATAAATAAATCACATTCAAGCGTTTCTCCAGGAGGTGGCAGCAATATACTGCAAGTGGGACTGAACGAGCGGTGCCGGAGCCGTCTGAGCGCTGTACTGTGGGGCACTGGGTTATTTTTAGATTCCTTCGCGTTAATCTTTTTAATTTTTTTTGCCTTTTGCTATGCATTCAAAGTTCACAGCATAGAATATGCACTGGGGTGCTCCTGCTATTGGTCTGTTACTTGTCAATCTTTCGTCAGCGCTGGTAGTTTTAAGGAGGATGCAAGATGCTTAAAGCATCACTTTTAGTCTTAACTCCCACAAATGTGTTAATGATAGAGTTTATTCTTAGGTGGCTTTTGGAGCTGTTCCTGGAGGAAGGCAGGGTGCAGGCAGGGCTGCTGGGAGCAGGCTGGCAGCTAGCAGAAGCCCGTAGAGGGCAGCAGTAAACCGAGCGCGGGCTGGGAGATGCTGTACCAAGAGATGGGTGCCCTGACTTAAATAAATGACATTTTATTAGGAATAGATGCCACCAAAATAGGTGGCTGCGTGTGTATTTGTAGCAGAGAGATTTGTCTGGAGCTTGAAAGCAAAATTCCCCCAGCCCAGGAGAATTCCAGAATCTCCCGTCTTCCAGGATCTCTCCCAACTTCCCCAAAATGACAAGCACGATCCATTGCCACCCACCAGAGTTTTAAAGTTTCCTCCAGAGGTCAAGCAAATGTCCAGACGGATAAAATTACGTCAGGCATCCGGGATGTGACACAACCTTAACAAAGTCATTTGAAATCATTTGACAGTAAATTTCCCCGTGAGTTCCTAGCCCGGGGCATGGAGAATCCTCTCCTCCCTGGATGAGCTTCTCGCCGAGCATCCACATTGCAGCACAGGGAGCAGAGCGGGGTCTTGATGCGGCCTGATGGCCTCCTAAAGGCGATGGGGAGCCTGGCAGAGCCCCCGCAGCTCAGTCGGCTTCCGTCAAGAGCTTGACATTGAATGGATCGTGTCATGCAGATGGTACCTCAGAGGAGTGAGAGCTGCCATTTACAGCACTGATGACAACAACTGCCGAGATCAGTGGGATCTTAAGATTGCTTTAATATGACTGGCACCTAGCAATTTAGCTCACATTGTTTGTGACAGGGTGTCACTCTTGCACTTGTCTGGGGATGAATGATAGAGGGTTTTAAAGCATGGAGCTTCCTCTTTTGGAGGAAATTAAACCGCTGTATGTACTGGTGCGGAGAATGAGATGCCTGCCACAGCAGCGTGTGTGAAGGGAGAGCTTTGCAAAAGCCTGGTACAAAGTTTAGTCTGTCTCGGATGGGCAATGGCCGATGTCAAAATTACCCCACCACCCCCAGCCCCTGTAAACACACCATCAGCGTGCAGCATTTGTAAGCGCTTTGGGTTGCCTTGTGATCACCCGGTGCCATCTTAGCTTTGTGGTTTTCTTCAGGTTAGTCAATATACATTTGCTATGTGCAGCTACCGGGAGAAAAAAGCTGAACCTCAAGAGCTGCTGCAGCTCGACGGATACACTGTGGACTACACCGACCCGCAGCCAGGTATGGGGCTGATGGCTTGCTGCTGGTGCTCGCCATGCTGCGTATGGCTCCTACGTGGGGCTCTACCCCTTCTCTCCATCCCTGCTTGCAGCTGAACTGTGATAAGCTTTACTCTGAATATCTTTGTGTTTGGACTCATCATTAGCTGTGCATGACTTTACGTGGTCTTCAGGAACTGGGCTAGGAGCTGCACTAGAGGAGAGAAAGATTCATCTCTTCTGGGGAGCCTAAGTGGATTAGATGCTTAAATCGCAATGAAATTTGATTGTGAACTAAATGCTCAAATCAGGGAATGATCCTAACCTGTGCCTTCAGATTATATTCCTTAAATAAAGGGTTAGCAGCTATGCCTGTCTTTATTGTAACAAATACTCACGGGACTAAACCAGCATTTTTGCCTGCCCCATTTTGTCTCTGATGGATATGGGTGAGTGGAAGGGGCAGGGACAGAAAGCCCCCTGGTACCTGGAGGTACCTGTTGAGTGGTGAGACCCTTCTTCAAGTGGAGGAGCACCACGTTTCCTGTATTTCAGTGGGGCAACATGTTGAGCAAGGTGATCCTCACCATGCCCTGGATAATGGTAACCCCAGAGGAGATGAAAGACCACAGTAGGTTGGTTGTCAAGACCTTTATTCCAGGTTAATTCTCATATTAGGGCAGTGAGAAGATGGGAGCTGAATCAGGGCCAAGACAGAAATAACCACATCACCCAAGCACCTTCTGTGCAGTGTCAGCATAAATACACTTGGTCTAATGGGAAACTCCCACCACATCCTCTCCAGCCCCATTTTTAATGGGGCTCCAGTGGTACAACTCACGTGGGACCTGCACAGACAGGGCTGTACATGAGAGAAACAATTAACCCCATATGCTGGGGCATGCTTTAATAGTTGTGATGCAGGGTGCTACCTGGGGACCTGGTGGGCTGTCTTGCAGGTGAGTTTGGGGAACGGAATGAGCTCAGCTGGGAGCAGTGTGGGGCTGGCTGAGGAGGTGCCAGGGGCAGTGGTGGGGTGGGAAGTAGGTCGAGATCCCCTTGATGGCCTCAAAACCTGCAAAACTCCATCACTGCTTCCTCTCCTGCCAGGTTTGGAGGGCGGCAGAGCATTCTTCAACGCTGTGAAGGAAGGAGACACGGTGATTTTTGCAAGTGACGATGAGCAGGACCGTATCCTGTGGGTCCAAGCCATGTACCGAGCCACCGGCCAGTCTCACAAACCTGTGCCGCCTACCCAAGTGCAAAAGCTAAATGCTAAAGGAGGGAATGTACCCCAGCTAGACGCCCCGATCTCTCAATTTTGTAAGTAAATAAGTTCTCCTAGAGAGCAGAAGTCTTTGATGGGAAGATTTTCTGCACTGATGTAGATCAGTTTTTGCGCACGTGTTTCTGACTCCAAAGTGCAATTTTTGTTATCATTAAGCTGCTTTTTACATCAGTGGATCCGGTTGAACTGTGTGTTTAGCACAACCAAACCCAAGAAACAAAATTCCTCGGGGAGCTCATCAATGAGTGTTTTAAAGTGCAATACTTGATGGAGGAGAGGCTGGGATCTGAGAGCCTGAGACCCAGCTTGCTTTCCGCAGACACGTGTTTCACCCCCACACAATCAACTGCACACCCAGATCAGAGCGATTCATTAGCGCCATTAGCTGTCTATCAAACACATCACGTGCTCAGAACTACAGGTGCAAATCTTGCAAGTATGAAATGCACACACAAAAAGAGGTCTCCTGTTGAATATTCAACTGTAGGAAAGCATATGGTATTTTTAACAGGTTGCTTTGCAGGCCAGTTAGATGTGAATTTAAAGCAATCATCTTTTAAGTCGTAGCTATGCTGCATGTCCTGTGCAGTGATACCCAGTTTGCTTAATTTGAAATTTAGAGCGATTTCTTTTGTCTTGCAAATGTAATTTGATTATAAACCACACGAATGCCTCCTCGCTCAATTTTCCTGAAGGTCTCCATCACACGTCTGGAGCCCCTTTGTTGTGTAACATGCAGCAGTTCTGGCTAGTTTCAGGAAAATATAAGAATTAGTATCATTAAATGTAAGTAAAATAAGGGAAAAGTGGTGAATATTAGCAAATTCTTTGAGTTAAATCAGATTTTAATATTTAAAGTAGTCTCTGTAAAGCTGTTATGGAGTATTTTGTTGTAATGAACCCAGAATATCTGGCCCTTGTTTATCAATATCATTTGACTGTCTTTTATATTGGCTTAGTTTCTTCATGTCACTATAGAAAATAACACTGCAAGACATACACCTGTACTGTCACTGTTACAGCAGAAAACCTCTGCTTGCTGCTGCTTTGTTGTTGTATTCTGTATCCTCCACGTGCTTGCGTATTTTGGACTCCCTTCTGCCTTGCATTGCTGCTGCTGTGGGTGAGATGTAGCGTGATGCAGCGTGGTGAACGTAAAGCCAGTATTTTCATTGCAGTGACCCTCATCCTCTTCATCCCAGTAATGTCACTGACTTTGGGGGTGCAAGGAGTAAAGGATTGGGGTCGGGAAGGAAGGACACCTCTCAGAAAGCCAAAATGGGATGAAGGAATTGGTCTCTTGTAAGTGGGATGTTTACTGGCTGTGATTAGCCTCTAGATCAGGCTGGATTGTGCTGACCTGAGAGTGCTCCCAGGGACTGTACGAGCCTCTGCCCAAAGTGTTTAGTCAATGAGTTCTTGGAAATAACAGGCACAGCTCCTTCTACTGCTGTTTTTTTACATGCTAAAGCCTTCAAAGTGTATCAAGGGAGAGCAGTAGAGGGATGCTGCTGTGGCTCCCTCCTCTAACAAGTCGTGCTAAAGGATGCTCTTAACTGTGTGATTGGTGCTTTTTGCTTGTCCCAGCATCATCCCTGTGGATTCAGATGAGAGCAGGGAGAGAACATCAAGCTAGGGAATCACCTTTCCCTCCAGTCTTCTCCCATCCCTGCAGACGTCAGGCCTGGAGGATTTTTCTGCTGGGTAAATTCCTGATGTTCGTGGAGTTCTCACTTTGCCAGACCCCTCTGTGGGGTCAGGTGAAGGGTCCCTTTCCCCAACCACATTGCACAGCAGCAGCTGTAGCAAAGTCTGCCAGGAGTTCGGGGAGGGAAAGGGGATACCTGAGGCCATGGACCTTCAGGTGTGTTGTCCCCATGCACAGCCAAGTGCTGTGTGCATGGGGACAACTGAACTCCTTGCTTACGTTATGTGGGATGGAGAAGGGGCAGCTGGCTTGTCCTGGTCTTTGCGAGGGAGCGGCGAAGTCAGTGGCTGAGCCCCTCTCTGCACCTAACCCCAGCCCAGTACATTGAGTGAAGAATTGTGCTGCTCGTGGTCCTGCAGACAGCACCAGCCTGGCTGTGCTCAGAGGTAGAGAAATGCCACAGATTTGACCTTGTTTTTTCCATTTTGCTCACCTGCCGGGAAGCAGGGATCCCTCATCTCTCCTTCTGGTGAAAACAGCAGAGATTTCACTCCCTGGTCCCTCCAGGGCATCTGAGGGGTCAGCATCTGACCTCAGTTTCACTTATTCTCATGCCAATACCAGTTCCAAATCCATATCATTCAGCTTTTTTTATGCCACCACCCTTTCTCCATCCACATAAGCTGTGGGCAGCTTCAGGCTCCCGTTTTTGCTGCAAGCACCAGTAAACCCTCCTGGTTGTGTCATGCCCAAGCCTGGATGGGGGAAACCAGTCAGCTCATCAGTCTGATGATGACTTGCTACTTCAGCATCCTCTGGGCTAGGGGGTTTTGTCCTTGGTCTTCCTTCCTCCTCCTCCCTTGGATGTAGATCCCTCTGTCAGCTCTCTATGCACAGGACCTTCACCTAGAAGAAGAGGAGGAGGGCAGCATGCTATAGCACACCTTCATCTCAACAGCAAAGGCTACTCATTTTCCATATTTCAACATTTGTATGTAGCAATGCTCATTGCAAAAGTCATTGGACGCAGCAGTTAAAGAATCAGAAGCAGAAGTGAGTCATGCATGCCACACATGATGGAGTCTTAAGTGCACAAATACATATCTCGGCTCCTTCAGTCTTGAAATTTAAACATATCAAGTATTGCATTTTTAAAAGGGTTTTGGTTTGTTATTGGGTTTTTTTGGCTTGGGTTTTGTTTGGTTTTTTTTTTTTTGCTTTGGGGTTTTGTGGGGGATATTTTTTGCCTGCAGAAAGGTAAGGACTTCTGCGAGACATTTTATTCCTGTACATTTCTCTCTATACCCGTCATGTTTTTTGTGCTTATTAGAGGCTGTGGTGAATGAGGATGTGCAAAGAAGTAAATGTTAGGCCATTTGATGAGTAACTGTTGTTCTAGCTTTCATGTTGTAGCAGTCCGAGATGGCACATGCATGCACATGCAGAGAAAATCCAGCCCACCGCTCCCATGGTGGAGCTGTCTGTTAAACAGAAACTTGAGAAGAACGTATTTTGCTGTTGGGAGAAACAGTGAATTCATTCGGTTCCCACCTCTTTCTGGCTTAGTAAATACAAACTTTGAGCAGCACTCAAATTCTGATCCTGATAGCAGCATTTGAGTTGGAAGTGAACAGACAGCTCCGAACCAGGGTGGAGTTTATTTTATTTGCAATTTAAGTACTAAAAAAAGAAAAATAGATCCTGCTATTCATTGATTTCTGTATGACTCTACAATTCCTTTTATGTGGGTGAACAATACCTGTTAGAGTGAAAAGTTTTGCTTTTTTTTGTTTTGCTACAATTTAATAGAACGACTCCATTCACGCAAAGCTGTGCTGTTCTCCAATGTTCGCATTATCAAAGAAAAAACCCAAAACTGTTCTTGTTTACTGTTGGAATCATGCACAGTATTATAGTCAATAACGCTGCCAACGCATATTACACCTTTTGGCAATATTTAAGCTTCATAAAAGTGGTCACTTGTCTGAAAGCACCAATCTTTGTTCGTTCTGTGTTAGTGATGCATCCAACAAAATTCCCGAACATGCTTCAACGTTCTGTTCTGTTTTTTTCTTAATCTCTTTTCTTTTCCACATGAAAGATTGGTCCATACTTGTTTTACGTATCACTTGTGGCTATATTTCATTTCTTAATGTCCGTTTATATTTAATGACTGTTAATCACACCATATATAAAGAGTTGGTCGTTTTGAGAATGTGTAATGATTTGTTCCCCCATAATACGTAGCGAGGTTTATTGAGCTGCTTAAGAATTTTTTCAGCTGTAAGTGGTTTTTATTTCGTTGGTTGGTTTGATTTTTCTTTTAAGTTTCCTTTTTTTCTTTCCATTCTTTGCTTGAACCCAAATATTTAGCTGCTAGGTTAGGGCTCCTGTCTGCTTTCCTGAGCCTTGTTGCTAGTCTTTATGTTATTCTGGTTTGTTCCTTCTTACCCTGCTAACTTCTAGCTGGACTCAAGGGTAAGTGCTTCCCTGTAGCTAGCACAGCTCAGATAATCGGAGTAGATTATCTGACGTATGCAATGTGCTTTTTTTTTTTCTTTCTCTTAAATCTTTCTCATGTTTAGATTTTGTAGTACAAACTTTCCATGTTATTTTCCTGAATTGAGGTTTGAAATGTAAGTTTCCATACTGAAATTGGGATGCATGTGATGTTTGCATAATTGCCTTCTCTCCCTGGCTTTCACATTGGCATCAAGTGATCCTCTTAGTAAAGCCAATCATTAACATTTCTATTTTTCATTCCAAGATGTAAATATTAATTAACATCACAATAAAACTGTCAATAATACCTTCTTTTGTTTCATGGAATTTACATCTAGTTGACTGCTTCCTGCCTGAAAACAGATCGTTTTGCACTCTGACAATATCCTTTCTCTCCGTGCCGATGATTAGCTTGGTGCAGCGCACCAGCATGCGGGGCTTAACCATGCACACCTCAAAGCATAGAAAGGTAGGGCAGGAGACCCCAAGAAACCTAGATGAGGTGCAGGACTCCACCGGAGCCCCCCCAAAAACCCCTCTGCACATGCCTTGTGAAAACAAGCCTGAGTCATCGAGGTTTGATAGTTCTTTCTCTCCTAAACTCAGTAGGGGATAATCTCAGCAGCAAGCAGCAGCACTCTGGGTCAGGTTTGGAGATGATGACCCTCTCCAACTTAAATCCATTAGTCACAGAGGGGTGCTGCTGTTCCCTAAATTATCATTCATTAATGTTTTAGCGTGGGTCTCAATAGCCAAAGCAATGCTTGCTAAAGAATAACCCAGGGGAATTATTAATTTACCTTTTCCCACTGGAATACCTACTTTGAAAAAGATAAAAGCCCAAACTGGTGCTGTAAAAGAGCTTCTCCTTAGTCTTTGTTCACC